CCTGAAAAAAAAAACTATCATTTTATCTTCTTATGCTCAACAAGCAGTCACTTTTTTTGTTCCCATACAAAAATTTATACATACATTGTTATGTGACCCTAATTGCTCTCCCCATACTATGACAGCACACTCTTCCTTTCCACCCCTAATGCCCCATGTCCATTCAACCAGCTCCTAACCCTCTCTGCCTTCCCATCTCACCTCTGGACAGAAGCTTCCCCTTTGGTCTCTTGTATCTACTTGACTAAGAGGCACACTCCTCCGAGTATCACTGTATGTCCCACAGTCCAGTCCAATCCCTGTCTGAAGAGTTGGGCTTGGAAATTGTTTTAGTTCTGGGCTGATAGAGAATCCAGGGGCCATGCTTTCTGGGGTTCCTCCAGTCTCAGACTGTTAAGTCTGGTCTTCTTACTAGAATTTGAGTTCTGCACCCCACCTTTCTCCTGCTCTGTCTGGGACTCTCTATTTTGTTCCCTGTCAGGGTGCTCATTGTTGGTAGCCAGGCACCATCTAGTTCTGGTGTCAGGCTGATGAAGTCTCTGGTTTATGTTGCCCTTTCTTTCTCTTGGGCTAATACTTTGCTTGTGTCTTTGGTGTTCTTCATTCTCCTTTACTCCAGGTGGTTGGGACCAATTGATGCATCTTAGATGGCTGCTTGCAAGCTTTTAAGACCCCAGACTCCACTCACCAAAGTGGGAGGCAGAACATTTTCTTAATAAGCTTTGTTAACAAGAAGTCACTTTTAAAGGAAGAATTCAAATCACATTCCTACCCTTGTCTCTGTAACAGAGTTTAGCTTTCCTAGTCACTTGTTCCTTTCAAAAATCAGTAAGTAACATGATTCTTTGCTCTTTCATTTGAGTCTTTATTTAGCACATAACAAGGTTGTTGTGATTCTGGGGACTCTGAGGAGATAAGGAACTCCCCTTTTAGTCACACGTTCCAGAAGACGCATTTCTTGAAAAAAAGCAAACAAGGTCACCCAACAATTTTGAGATGGGGCTAGAAAGTTTTGAGACAGCTGGGGTCAAAACACATGTATAAAAGATGCACAATAACGTGCATAAGCAGCAGACTGAGGAAGTGTCCCCAGTCTGGCTCGCCCAAGGACACAGAGAGCATTGGGCAGGGGCTGCCTGAGCACTTGGCACCATTAATGTTTCTTCTTACCGTCTTAATAAATTCCCTCATTGTTTTAGTGGCTCTGTAGTTAATTTTTTTCTAATGAGACTAGGTTAACTGAAATCATCTGATGTGGAAAAGGAGGAGGTAAGGTTAAAAAGGAACCTAATTAGCAAGTTAATTATAGCAGGCAAAAAAGTGCACCAGTTATATAAATAAGCTATTGTTGTGCACATGCAAGTTGGGCCTTGTCAAGAGACTTGTTAAGGTTTAGAGGTCAGAGGATCCGTGTAATTAGGTGTTTAAGGAAAAAAAAAAAAAAGCAAAACAGCCACCAGAATTCAGAATGGCTGATGAGCCACTAACAGAAATGCCTTATTAAATCAGGGCTCTACTGCTGGAGGGGTTGTTAGAGCTGCTTCAGATTCCAGGGAAGGGTAGCCCCCCCCCCCAAAAAAAAAAAAAAAGGGAAAACAAAAAGCTAGCTGGAACCAGAGCCAACAGAATTGCTGATGAGGAAGGTTTAAAGGCCTGGCCACAAGGGTCCCTGGACCGGAGAGGTGGCAGTAAGGCTGGTAATGTCACTATGCTGAGCAGCAAGAAGAAATACATTGTCAATGGCAACTCTGGGATGAAAGCCCAGGTGAGGCTAAGCTCTTATTTCCCTGTCTTGCTGCTGCTGTAGCCATTATTGTAAAAGGCCAGCTGCTTATACTTTTCCCCTCCTTTCCTGCTTTCCTCCCTCCCTCTGGTATAAAGTGAGCCCTTCTCCTAACACTGTCTTTCCCTCCCTTGCCTTAATGTCTGTTGGAATTAGGTGGCTCTCTGTGAAATGGAAAACAAGATTTACCTTAAAGGACTCCTTGATTTCAGATAAGATAGGAAAGTTAGAGGTAGCATCTAACAGGGCACCACAACTAGGGTGGGTAGATTACTATATTATGAGGTGGACTGTTGACTAAAGAATGTCACCTCACTTAATAATTATTGAGTGAAGGCAGACACCAGGGAATGACCCACTTACCCCATATGTTCTTGTTATCAGTAAAAGATAAATATTTATTTCTTAGAAAAACTGTATAACATATATAAGTGGTTGAAGCGGTCTCTAATATCTTTCTGTCTTAAAGAAACCTGAGTTCAGTGTCTAGTAAACAAGGTCTTAGAACTCTATGTCTCTGGATGGAAGAAGCCTACATAGGGCAGTCTTTAATGTCAAAGGACAGCCCTAAACTTGTGGTGGGTGGGAGGAGTTACTCTAAGTGGATAAACTTTATAGGGAAGAAAATTCAGTTTAGGGAAACTGGTTTGAGATAATGATTCAGCTAGGTATCTACATGGTGTAGTTTTATTGAGGTAAATGGGTGTGTACCCACCCAGAACCTGCAACTCTGGAGAACTAGAGTGACCAGCCCCCTCTACTGGTATGTGTGGTGGTGGGGGGTAGGTTATATATCTGAGGCAGGGTTTATCTGTTACTCTTTTATAAGTGGGCACTGCTGAAGTTAGTGACTCAGTATGGCCCTTGGAAAATCAAATTACTACTCCTTTTCCTAGATGGGCCTTAAAAAAAATAAAGATAAGGACTGTCTTGAACAAGGGTGGTGAAATGGATTACAGCCAGGAAGCCTCACAGGTGTGCTCCTCCTTATCTTCTCATCCTCTCTCTTCCCCTTCCCAACCTTTTTTTTTTTACCCTTAAAAATTATTTAAACATCAGACTTGGCTCAAGTCTGTATTTAAGTACTGTATTTACTAAAAATTCAGCCAAGTACAGACGGTGGAGATAGCTAGAATAGAATGATTGAGTGCCTGCTACGTGCCAGGCATTTATGCCTGAGGATATAGGGGTGAATAAGATACACAGCCTCTGCCTCTATGGAACCTATGGTTTAGGAGGGCATACGCATAAGTAGACAGGCAGTTATATTCAGTGTGATAAGTGCTGTGATAAGAAGTATGTACAAGTTCATGTACTTCCTATGGGGGTACATAGAAAGAGCACTTTATCCTTTTGGAATAAATTGCTACTTCTGCAAAAGGATCAATTTTGCATTTGTCATTTTGCCAAGAGCTTTGAATACCAAGAGCTTCTAATCCAGTGACTTTTCCTGTTTCTGAAAACAATTTGTAAACTCTAAAGTACTATGCAGGCTGTTGTTATAGCTATGGAAATACTGTGAATTCCCCTAAATAGCAATACTAAACTAATTCAGTTTGGCATTGGTCCCCTTGTCTCAATGCTCAAATGACTTGACGGTTACTTCTAACTGCAGGAGATTTAACCATCATTTCCTGCTTTCATTTTGATATGCTGTATTCTGCCCATCAAGGACCCATCTTTTTATCATTATAGCGTCAGCTGTCAGATCTTTGGTCCTTTTCAGTAGACCTGCCTCTATGCCAGAAGAATAATCTAAGCGACTGTGCAAACGTTCAATTAGGGAAAAAGAAAAACGTTACTAGTTGAATAAATGTTATGAGCTTTTGGCGCAGTGGTTGAACAGTCAGCTGCCAACCGAAAAGTCAGCAGTTTGAACCCACCATCCGCACCACAGGAGAAAAATGTGGCAGTCTGTTTCCATAATGATTTATGGCTTTGAAAACCCTATGGGGCAGCTCTACTCTGTCCTATAGGGTCGCTATGAGTTGGAATTGACTCAGCAGCAGTGCGTTTGGGTTTTGTTTGTAAAGTATTATAAAGTATCAACTGGGACTTCCAACAGTAGAAGAGAAATTATAAGAAAGTTAACTATTAGATATTGTCTAAAACATAACCTCCAGAGTATGGTGACTCAGTTGTCCACGCCTTCCTCATCTATCATATTATAGTTAATATAAATGATCAATCAATGACTTTTAGGTGTTTTATTATTCGAAACATTAAAAATAAATAGTGCTTACTAACTAATGGAGCCCTGGTAGCACAGTGATTAAAAGCTCGGCTGCTAACCAAAAGGTCAGCAGTTTGAATCCACTAGCCGCTCCTTGGAAACCTTGTGGGGCAGTTCTGCTGTGTCCTGTAGGGTTGCTGTGAGTTGGAATCCACTCAACGGCAATGGGTTTTAAACGGGTTGTGCTTGCTAATACTGTAAAGCTAATACATTTTTAGAAAGCTTTAAAAAAAACTAGAGTGGCTACTTGCAAAAACTGAAAGTACACTGAACTGCAGGGGTGGGGAGTGGAGTGAATTTATTGAATCTCCTGCTCTGTTTCCCAGTTTACATGCATTGTCTCATTTAACACTCTAAAATCTGTGAAGTAAGTACTGTTATCTCTGTTGCATATATGGGAAAATGAGGCTCATAGAAGCATCTCGTCCAATACCATACAGCCAATGAGTGGCATAGCCAGCATTTGAATGCAGTTCCAGAAAGTTCTGTCTGAATTCAAAGCCTATTTTTTTCATTACTTATACCTAACATTTCCAGCATAAGAATCTTGAAACCTGAAGGCAAGTTATTTTACCTCTCTCTACCTCTGCAATTTTCTCACTTATGTATAAAGGTTGGATAGGTAGTCTCAAAAACCTTCCAGCTTCAATTTTCAGTGAAACTATAGAGAGGATTATATCTCATAATTGAATATGAATCAGCTTTCTAAAATTTACTTTAACCAGATCTTCTAATTCTCCGTCTTTTTTTTGGGGGGGGGTCACAATTTTATCGTAAAAAGCATATCATCAGAGTGAATCAAGGATTTAAATTTTATTAGAAACGTAGTAGGTAAAGTATGAGAAGTTGTAGCATTCCAAATATGGTTTGGTATAATCAGATCCACTGGGAGAGAAGATAAAAGAGAATAATGCAAGCTTTGAATTGCTGTTTCAAAATGGAGATTCTTTTCCTGTATATAACTGGTGTTCTTTTCCTTAGCAGATCCAATTTGCTGACCAGAAGCAAGAATTCAACAAACGTCCCACCAAAATTGGACGCCGTTCTCTATCTCGTTCTATATCTCAGTCATCAACTGACAGCTACAGCTCAGGTGGGTACTGAGCTGCTGTGGGCCCTCTGTCTATCCAAGGCTACTTAAGCATGATCAAGCCCATGCTTTGGTATAAACATTTTGACTGTAAGTCAAAATTTAGACCAAAATTCTGGATGGAATCTTTGGGTTCCTCTTGGGAATTCAGAGTGGAGCTTAATGGAAGGAGGTCTCCTCTACCAATAGAGGTGGAAAGTAGATTATTAAGGAAATTGAGTTCTTTGATATACTGAGTAGAGTGGGAGCATGTAGCTGATGATCTGCACTGAGCAGCATGTGTAATGTTCTCATCTTTTGAAAATAAAAGAGGGGTTCCACATTTCCCCATCTGTTACTTGCAAATTCAAGAGCAATTTCAATTCCAAGAAGCAATGAAGACATTCTAGTTAGTTCAAACAAGTGGGCCCTTTGCCTTGTCTCCTGGGCTGTGACATTGTATTGCTTGTTACTTCCTTCCTTCCTTCCTTCCTTTGCAGTGTTGTTAATTTAGTATCAGATGAACTATTACCGTATAGGATCCCTTGAAGACATTGACCATTTGTGCAACAGTGCCCAGTATGTCTGATCCAATATGGAGCTATTTTACTTTGCTCTTCTGTTGGAATGTGGTTGGAAGCTGAGTGTTTACCGTAGTTACTTCTTCACATTACAAATAATATTCATTAGAAAACTTTTATTGTCATCTTAGGTTTTATCTGTTCTTCACACAAATAGGAAAATAGTATTTGTTATGTAAAGTTGAAGAAGTCTTGTTCAGGGAGCTGTAACATTTAGGTTGGGTAGTGTCTTAGTTATCTAGTGCTGCTACAACAGAAATACCACAAGTAGATGGCTTTAACAAAGAGAAATTTATTTCTTCACAGTAAAGTAGGCTAAAAGTCCAAATTCAGGGCATCAGCTCCAGGGGAAGGCTTTCTTTCTCTGTCGGCCTTCTTCTCATCAGTGTTCCCCAGACTAGGAGCTTCTCCATGTAGGGACCCCAGGTCCAAAGGACACGCTCTGCTCCTGTCACTGCTTTCTTGGTGGTATGAGGTCCCCCGTCTCTGCTCACTTGTCTCTTTTATATCGCAAGAAATTGCCTCAGAATAGGTAAGTGGTATCTTGGGTAAAGGGTGAGACAGTACACAGTTCAGGGGAAGCCAGCACAACTTGTACAAGGAAAGGTCATGGAAGTTCCATAGACACATCCAAACTCCCTGAGGGACTGAACTGCTGGGCGGAGGGCTGTGGGGACCATGGTCTCGGGGAACATCTAGCTCAATTGGCATAACACAATTTATAAAGACAATGTTCTACATTCTACCTTGGTGAGTAGCATCTGGGGTCTTAAAAGCCTGTGAGCAGCCATCTAAGATATTCCACTGGTCTCATCCCTTCGGGAGCAATGGAGAATGAAGAGAACAGGTTACAAGGAAAAGATTAGTATGAAGGACTAATGGACCACAGCTACCAACAACTCCACCAGACTGAGTCCAGTATGACTAGATGGTGCCCGACTACCACCACTGACTGCTCTGACCGGGACCACAACAGAGGGTCCTGGACAGAGCTGGAGAAGGATGTAGAACAAAATTCTAACTCACAAAAAAGAGACCAGATTTACTGGCCTAACGGAGACTGAAGAAACCCCGAGACTACGGCCCCCAGACACCCTTTTAGCTCAGTGGTAAGTCGTTTCTGAGGTCTACCATTCAGCCAGGGAGTGGACAGCCCCATAAAACCAAATGGGACTAATGAGGCACAGCAGTCCAGGGACAAGGGCCAGAAGACAGAAGGGGACAGGAAAGCTGGTGATAGGGAACCCAAGGTTGAGTAAGGATAGTGTTGATGTGTTGTGAGATTGTTAACTATTGTCACAGGGCAACATGTGTACTAACTGTTAAATGAGAAACTATTTTGCTCTGTAAGCCTTCATCTAAAGTGAGAATAGCACAATTGGAAGAGTGTGGTCGATGTCACTGAACTGTGCATGTAGAAATTTTTGAAATGGTGTATCTTTGGCTATGTATATTTTCACCAAAAAAAAAAAAAAAAAAAAAAAGGTCGAGAAGGGAAAGGGTTGACATGTTGTGGGGTCGTTAACCAATGTCATAAAACAATATGTGTACTGCTGTTTCATGAGAAACTATTTGTTCTGTAAGCCTTCACCTAAAGTACAATAAAAAAATAAAAATAAAAAATAGAAAAAAAAAAAAGAGATTGCCTCAGGATATAATCCAGTCTTGTAGACTGAGTCCTGTCTTACCAACACAACTGCCACCCATCCTCCCTCAGTAACATCATGAGGCAGGATTTACAACATAATAGGAAAATCACACAATACCAGGAATCATGGTCCAGCCAAATTGATACACACATTTTTGGGGGGACATAATTCAGTCCATGACAGGTAGATTGCATCTCTCTTCTTATTCCTCCTCCCTTCTCCTCCTACAGTAACTGTGAGTGATAGAAAGCACATGACATAAATCCCTATGGATTTTTATCTAAGGTTATCAGATTTTGTACCCAACTTATTCTGCTGAAATAACCAGTGTTGAAAATTCATGAACTGGTTGATAAACCTTTGGAAGCTAATACTTGTGAAAATGTGAATTGTAAAACCGTGTGTAACATTTTAGACTGTGAGTTTGTACATGTTATTTAAGGATTGATACTAAATAATGTGTATGTTTCTGCAGAGGAAACCAATGCCTGTCTTCCTGCCCAGCCTCCATGTGCAGGGAGGGTACTTAAACAAAATACTTATATACTTAGAGTGAAGAGAATGGTTTGATGACATTGATTTCTAAGGGAGCCCATAGTTGCCTGGTATATAGCCCACTGGTGAGTATTGACTTGTGTCACCTTGGCAACCTTGGACTACATAGGTTGAACTACAGGAAATTGACTTATTTTTATAAGTCAAAAATTGTCAGTCTGATATGTCCATTTGTGGATATTAAGTTCAGGAGCATAGAATCAAAACATCCTGGAGATGGAAACAAACTTAAAAATAATTATTCGGTTTCCCACTAGGTGCTGGAATGCCTCTATAGCATCCCTGACAAACGACCATCTGGCTTCTTAGGGGGCACTTTAGATGCTAGGGTGCTCTTTGCCTTTCTCTAGTTGTTTAGCTCCTGATAAGCTCTTCTATAATTCCTGCAATTTAGATTTTACTTAGAAACAAAAATCACTGTTTTTCGGGCATTGCACTGTCCTGATTACCTCATCTGAATATATTCTAGATTGTTAAATATCTGTGTTTTTTTTTTTCTTTTGCTATTTTTACACATTAAATATCATCACATATTTTTCAGTATTTATTATCCTTCCCATATGTTTTTTCTTTTTGGACCTATTCAGTTGACATATTTGGAAAAAGGCTCTTACTGAAACAGACTTCTAGTTTTTATGGTATTCGTTTCCTATACTGGTTAACATTTTATTTGGGGTTTTTTCAGTGTCCTTTTAAAAATATTATACCTGTGAACATCATATTCCAGATGTAGTCTGAACTAACCTGTAGCAAGTGTTGCTTTCCATAAACTAGGCTCAGTGCTTTTACAATGAAACCTAAGATTATGTTTGCTTCTTTAGCAGCTGCATCACACACTGTTGCCTCATTTTTTTTTTTTTTGTTTACATGATAAATTATCAAGTCTATTTAAACAAACTCTGAAGGGATATGCCTACTGCCTTGAGTTTTGGACTGGGAGTTAAGAGAGACCTGATTTCTAGACTTTGTCCACGTTTGATTTGTCTTCTGATCCTGGAAAGCTTTTGCAGCTTACTGTCATAGCAAAGACAATGAGAAGTTATATGAGATGATACAGAAAGAGCTCCATGCCCATCAGATGAGAAGCCAGGAATAACTGAGCTGACTCAAAGCTTTATAAATACAATAAGATTGAAAATGCATGTCAATAAGAATTTGCGGCCCATTTTCAGTGTTCACTGTAACTTAAATACTATAGAAATTAACACTGGAGAGCTCCTGAGACTAATCTTTGGTCCTCTTCCTTTCTCTGTTTATACTGTTTTCCTAGCTGAATTCAGTCAAGCTCATGGTTTTAAATATCATGTATAGGCTTCCCATCTCCCTACCCCATGTGTAGGCTTTTGATTCTCAGATTTTATCTCCAGCTCATATCTATCCCCTACACACTAGATCCATGTATTCAACTGCCCTTTGAGTCTCTTGGATGTTTTATAGGCATCTCAAACCTCCCATGTCCTAAAAATTGAACTCCTGATCTTACCTCCATATCTGTTCTCCCCACAGTCACCCCCAGCTCACTTAATGGTCACGTCATCTCTCCATCCAGAATTCAACCACTTTCCACTACTTCCACTGTTCACACCTTTGTCCAAAACACCGTCATCTCTGATTATTTAAATAGCCTCCTTCCTCATTTTCCTGCTTTCAGTCTTGCCCTCTTTAGTCTACTCTCAACACTACAGCCAGGTTCATTCTTTTAAAAAAAGAAGTCAGGTCATGTCACTTCTCTGCTCAAAATCCTCAGTGACTTCCTAGTCTCACTCTGCTTAGTGCAGGTTCTTACAATAACCTACAAGGCCCTATATACTGTCTAGCCTCCCATTATGTTTCTGATTACCTCTCTATTTCCACAAATCTCCTTCTTCTCCCAGCAATTCATTTCACTGCAGCCATACCAGCCTCCTTGCTGTTATTTGAAACATGCCAGGCTCTCTCCTACTTCAAGGCCTATGCACTTCTTGTTCCCTCTGCTTGGAATGCCCTTTCTCCAGACATATGCATGGCTAGCCATCTTACCTCCTTCGTGTCTTAACCAAATATCACCTTCTCATTGAGGTCTATCCTGGATATTCTTTTTAAATTGTACAAATGGCCCATCCAACACTCCCCATCAAATTTTGCTCCTTTATTTGTGTCCATAGCACTGATTATTATATATTATATGTTTTACTAATTTATTTTTGTCTTTCTCCTCCCACTTGAATGTGAGATCCATGAGGGCAGAGATTTTTGTCTG